CTGCCCAGCCAGACCACACCCCCATGAGTACCTTGCCCCAGCACCCCCCCAGCACCCTGCCCCAGCACCCACAGCACAGTTGGGGCCACATTAGTGAGGCTTAGGGGGCTTTGGAGGGTTTTTTTTTTTTTGCATCTTACTTGTGTGGCCCCGACTGACTTTTCTGTGGGTCAGTGACCCCTGACTCATAGACTTTAAGGTCAGAAGGAACCATTATGATCATCTAGTCAGACCCCCTGTACAATGCAGGCCAGAGAATCTCACCCACCCACTCCTGGAATAATCCTCTTACCTATATCTCAGATACTAAAGTCCTCAAATGATGGTTTAAAGACCTCAAGATGCAGAGAGTCTTCCAGCAAGTGATCCGTGCCCCATGCTACAGAGGAAGGCGAAAAACCTCCAGGGCCTCAGCCAAAAATTCCTTCCTGACCCCAAATATAGCAATCAGTTGAACCCTGAGATGTGGGCAAGACTCACCAGCTAAACACCCAGGAAAAAGTTCTCTATAGTAACTCCTATCATCCCACCATTGCCCTATTTACCACTGATAGCGAAAGGTCACTTAGTTGCCAAGATTATGTTATCCCATCAGACCATCCCCTTCAAAATCCCATCTAGCTTAATCTTGAAGCCAAATAGGTCTTTTGCCCCCACTACTTCCCTTGGAAGGCTGTTCTAGAACTTCACTCCTCTAATGGATAGAAACCTTCGTCTAATTTCGACTCTAAACTTTCTGATAGCCAGTTTATTTGTTCTTGCGTCCACATTGATATTGATATTGAGCTTAAATAATTCCTCTCCCTCCCTTTTATTTATCCCTCTAATATATTTAAAGAGAGCAATCATGTTTCTCCTCAGCCTTCTTTTGGCTAAGGTAAACAAGCCAAGCTCCTTGAGTCTCCTTTCATAAGACAGGTTTTCCATTCCTCAAATCATCCTAGTGGCCCTTCTTTGTACCTGTTCCAGTTTGAATTTATCCTTCTTAAACATGGGAGGACAGAATTGCACACAGTATTCCAAATGGGGGTCTCACCAATGCCTAGGTATAACAGCACTAACACCTCCTTATCTCTACTGGAAATACCTCGCCTAATGCATCCCAAGACCCTATTAGCCTTTTTCACGGCCATGTCACACTGGCGGCTCATAGTCATCCTGTGATCAACCAGGACTCCGAGGTCCTTCTCCTCTTCCGTCACTTCCAACTTTAACTGTATTAGGGCACTTAAAACAACAAAATACCTTCTAGTGTATACAAGTGCTAAAAGCCTACAACTATCTCCAAGAATCTTTACATTACATTGTAAGAAGTATCCCAGTGAACAGAGGATTTATTTGTTTTCAAATGCCTGTGTGGAATCTGAAACCTAGATATTGCAGAATTGTTCCAGTGAATGATATCCCCAAATGGGAACTCTCCAAAGGGAGTTAAGAGCATAAAGTAAACAGCACAAACACAGCAAATAAGGTTAAAATGTTCAATTTTAATGATCTAGGGAATGTTTCTTAGTTTTCTCAAAAGGTTACAAATGAAAGTTCCCATCGAGTTGATTTGAATTGGCAATATTCCTATGGATATTTTATTAAGAATAACCCCAACTTTGCTCACAGATTGAAGTTGATAAAATATGAGAGTGAAGAGATCATAAAGATAATATAAGTTGTACAAATATTGAGGGTTGTACAAGAATCTAGGGGGGAGAATGCATTTCCTGAAGGCACACTGAGAGACACACCTCACAAATCTGCTTTTACCTACAAGACAAAATATGGTTCAAGACCTTCTGGGGATAACAATAAAACTCCTAATTAAAATGTTAAGAAACACAGGAGCATAATATCCACAGTAACTTTTTAATACAAATAAAAGGACAAACTACTCATGCAGAAATGGAGTCCCAAAGGAATTATAAGTTCAGTCATAAGGCCTTAGACAGGAACAATTTAATACACTTCACAAAACTGAACTGAGAAGACAGCCCTTCAAAACAGCATTACATTCAATGGGGATTTAATTCACATCCATAGGTGCTGTAGTCTGTGTGTCAAACCTACAGGACCTTTGTTCAGTAGGAAAATACATCCACTTCCACTGAGGCCACTGCCCTGAAAGAAAGCTTTAATTTACACAGCTCTGAGCCTCCTTTGAAGCCAAAATGGCAACGTTTAGCTGGAAAGGGCTCAATCAGCATGTCTCCTAGGCCTGATCTTTGCTTAACATGCAGGTTGACATAGCTATGGTGAGCAAGGGTGTGAAAATCAGATATCTCCTGAGCACTGTAGCTCTGCTGACCTGGTTGCTGGTGTAGGTACAGATTGACTGACAGAAACATGCTTCCCTCAACCAACCTACAGTGTCCGTACCTGTGCAACAGGACTCCACATTGTTCCTACCCCTTCTGTCACTGCATCTACACTATGGGGTTATGTCACCATAGCTATGTGCTAGGATTCCCATAGTGCGGAGATGCCTTTAGGCATCCCATTCATAAGGCACCAGCTGGCTCCAGGGCCCTTAAAAGTAGAAGGGTTATGGGAGGTTTGCACCACTGTTCCTCCTCTTTCCCACCCCTAACAAAGGTGATCCCACAGATGGTGAATTAAGAACAAATTCTGATAAAAAAAAAAATCTTTAGCAGCTTCATATGCCCTAAGACACAGAAAACAAAAACTTAACTCATGGAGGAAGAAAGGCCATCAGATTGAAAGCAGCTGTCTCTTAAGCAGTGTTGCATACTCTCCCCTCTAACTGGTTTCAAGGTTAGGGGCATACTTTCCTCCTTTTCTGTACACAGACCCAACACAGAAAATACCCTGGGCCAAATTTTCAGCCACAACCTCTGAAACCACATGTATATGTTTGTATACCTATTTGACATACATATCCCACATTTATTATACAATCACCCAGCTGGCAGAGGGATAATGAAGATTTGTACATGCAAAGTTTATGCATGCTGGGTTGAAGCCTACAGAAAATTTGAACTTTACATTTCATTTATGTAGGCCAAAATGTAGCAGAGCGTAATCTAGCAAGAAAAGGATTCCAATCTAACAGCAACATAACTAGTGATCTACCATAGGCAATAATGATCCGCTCTAAGGCTTCGTACTTTGAGCTTATACTTCACATGTTCAAAAATGTTTAACAAACTATAATTAAAGAGTTTGTGAAACAATTACTCGGGTTGAAGATGCTCAGCATAAACTGCCAGCTATAAATCTATGTTCTCGTATTATCCAAATAATAAGAACACATCTGCTGTTAATAATGCCTTTAAAATAAAAGGATCAACATGTCTCCTGACACATGTATACCAGCCTACTTTCCAAAGTTAAATCTCATTCATGAAAGGGACAATTTCTTAAGATTACAGATGGCAAAGAAAGTCTCTCTCTAGCCAGAGAATGCAGGGTCACCTGTATAAAAACAGTTTTCTGATCCCATACACATTTCATGTGAAAGTCATGGATAGTATGTGCAAAAGAAAAAGTCTTTGTCAATTTGGAAATCATTATAGCTACAGATGAAAAAATTCTATGAACTAAAGAGATTTTTAAAATGGTACATAAAGGTCTTCAATCTATAAAATAAAAATAAAATTTAAAAATGTTTTGCACTTGCCTTTTTTAGAGATTACACATGTTTAAATAACTACATCTCTCATATAAGCACTCTTATGGTCATAAAAACATAATTCAAATTACATAATGAAAACATTCCTGCACAAGATTCCTTTATAACCTAATTTTTGTTTTCCTTTTCAAGTATACCATATTCCAATGCATCAGCTACTAGTGTGCACACGCAGTTTCAGGATCCTTGCTGCATTATCCTTCCCCCATTCCTTTTGGTTGTCTCATTTTACAGTACTCATTTTCAGCATGCAAGAAAAGCTGTGGTTTGTTGGACTGCTTGATTTAGAAAGGCCACTTAGTTCTACTCAAACTGAATCACAAGCAGCAAAGATCCCAGCTCCTGCTATTTACTGTCTCAGTCAGAATCATCACCACAATCATCACTGCCTTCAAGACTGTTACTCTGGAAAGCAGAATGGAAAAAAATGGTTGTCACCAGTTTGTTATAGACACGAAATACTAGATCACAACTACTCCAAATTCTAGGGAAATGAGAATGGGGATCCAAATGTTATGGCTTGAGCCCACCTCTAGTTACTACATTTGAAATTACTTGAGGAGTAGGGGGAAATATTGCCTTTTACTTCTTATGGCTGGGGGGTACACTGAAAAATCCAGCTCCATATAGCGCTACAAAAGCAGTAACTTACAGCAGGTCAATTTAGACTCCAAATAGTAAGGACAGAATCATTATGCCTGTCAGCACAACAGAGCCAACACATCTAAGATGATAAGCTGGATTTTATTTTCTCATACATCATTAACAGAATTGGTTAAGAACTCGGTTCAGTTTGAAACTAAATGTTGACAATCTGTTTGCATACTGAAAACTGAAACTACAGAGAGGCCATATAAAATTAAAACCACACTGAATGACACAGGGATCCTATACCAAGTATATTCTCATGTTTAAGTCAACTAAACCTATACATTTGTCGAAGCAGTCACAAAACTTGAGAATTTCCCCAGAGCGCTCCAGGATCTAGGGACCTCACTGCAAATGTTAGGTTAAACTTGTGAAAAAGTAAGTTACTTTTAAAAAGTGTATTTGGTTGTACAGTAACAATCTATGGGGCTATTGGTAACACACATAAGGAAACTGTTTAAATTCTAAATTGACATTGTCATTTTTAAAATGAGTCAAAGTCAGGGGTTCTACAGTGTTTTCTTAACATAAGTAGTAAGAGTGAGGCTGTAATAAAGAAAAACAGTGTCAGCAATGATGATGATATGGCTCAAAGTCATGTATTTCCAACTGTTGATTTAAAAACAAATGCAAACAGCTGTATGCAGCTTTGAAAAGGAAATGGCCTTTTCTATTATTAAATAAAAAGGCAAAAAAATTATCCAACTGCAAAACAACCAGGAAAACATTTTGCAGTGTAAACAGGCTAAAAATGTTCTGTTATGGAATCTGTCACACAACTCCCCACCCAGTCTGTGACAAAACCACACACAGTATTATATTTGTTTGAATTTACTGGTGTGACAGGATGAGACCCGCCTACCCCCCTGAAACGGGTCCACCCCGTACTGACCCCGCGATTGCCCTCTCGCTCATGGGGGCAACACCGCAGGAGCTAACCGCTTGCAGGCTGTGTAGCGCCGCGGCTCTGGAGCTGAGCGGCTGGGCGGGCGGGGCGGAAGTGACATCAGACACCCGGGAGGAAGGGCAAGGGGGAGGGGGATAAAAGCCCCAAGGGAACTGGCAAAGGGGGGGAAGAGAGACAGGAGAGGGAGGAGCGAAACAGGAGAGAGACAGGGGAGGAGGAAGACAGCTATAAGATAGGTGCGAAGGAGATGGGGTGGAAGCAGCCCAGGGCAGGGCACGGAGCCAGTGCACCAGTGGGTTAAGGGTATGTACCCCCTCCGGTGGGACAGGTCCAGGAGACTCTGTCTTTAGGGCCCTGGGCTGGGGTCTGGGAGTGAGGGTGGGCCCAGACCCCCCACCCCGCACACCCAGCGGAACAAACTTTGAAAGCAGCTGCCAATCAGCAGCCAAGGAGCGTAAAAAGACAAGAGGGAGAGAAGGGGGCGGGACTGGACCCCCACAAATATATTCACCCTGCTTTTCAATCACTAGCCTCAGAATATGCCTTTTATATGACAGCTAGCACTATATTTTCAAATCCCATTAGGAGGGAAGTCCGTGGGTTTTTGTTGTATCGCACAAACTAGGAGTCGCGGATGGCACCTCACCCTGGAAAAGAAGAAAAGGAAAAGACTGACAAAGGTGGAATTATTAGAAGGAGACGTAGGGGTGCAACCAGCCCCCCCAGCTGAGCGGAGCATGGAGACTGCGGAAATGTTTAAATGGTTAACCGAAAATCAGAGGCAACAACACCAACACCAAACAGCCCTCCTGCAGCAACTTGCAGCTCAACACCAGCACCCA